TCAGTCAGTCAGTCAGTCAGTCAGTCAGTCAGTCAGTCAGTCAGTCAGTCAGTCAGTCAGTCAGTCAGTCAGTCAGTCAGTCAGTGGTCCATGTCTGCTTTTCTGTGAAAGAAACCAGAAAAACGATTTTTCACCTGACACCCTCCTCACTGTTTATTCTCAGTGTTAGGATGTTTATGCATCCATCAATATGAGTTGATGAGGAAATAATAATCAGTGCCAATACTTATAATGCATGAAGGCAAGTAATCTTGTGTTTTTGACTCTTAACCATGATTAATTTTCCTTATCATGACGGACCTTGCATCAGTAACATGTGTTCGCCCATAGGCTGTAAACATATCATAACACTGTGGATAAATGCTTTTGTCAATACATTCTTTTTTCAAAAGCATTTGTCTGCTTGAAGGAAAGTGATGCTGAGTTGTAACAGCTGCAGGTATGAAGCTGAGTCTTTCTCTGTTTGTGCCTTTGACTGTTAGAAAATATGTCAAAGCGAATCATTGAATGAGCAAACTCTGACTTAGAACAGTAGTTGAGCAGTGCCTGAACAGTAAGGGTGACACAGACGTGACATGGACATTTCCAATTAAAGGTATATCTTCAGGACAGCTAAATGTATCGATGACATTTGCATCGATGATATTGATTGATGATCAGTACATTTGCATTGATCCTGATTGGCATCATTTAGACTATTAATATAATATAATGAACAATAAACTAGATGACACAAATCCATTCTTGTCCACAATTGTATGGGGACCATATGGGGACGCATCATTTGTGTATTTCTTAAATCCTCTTAAAATATGATTGTTGATGTCCACTGCTGCTCAGAAAAATGCATAATGAGCTATTTCTTTACATTTTGCTGACAATTCTTCAACATTTTTGATTTATTATAATATATAGTATATATAATACTCAGAATACAAGGGCTTCCATCAGTCCGCATTGTGTTAATTCCTTCGGTGAAAGATAGTGGCCTAACAGCGATTTATGTAAATTAATTAATCGATTATTCTCTTAACCCCAGCATTGGAGTCTTTATGGCCATTAGCCGCAGTTTGACACTAGTTTTACCATGTCGAAGATATCTCTAGTGCAGTTGTGGAAAATAACTTAGCAAATGTACCCAAGTACTGTACTCAATTACATATTTTAGGTACTTTTACTTTACTTGTGTATTTCCAGTTCATGCAACTTTATACGAAATATTGTACTATTTAAATTTTTTGACACCTTAGTTACTTTGCACGTTAATATTGTTAATTCATAAATTAAATCCACTAATGAATTATGACGTACCATTATGGATTAAGATACCTGGCAGTATAAAACTTAATTAACAGTTATTACCAGCTGCAAAATTATTTACACAATATCGGGTCAATAATTAAAATCCAGCGATATGTCACCCTGAAAATGGACATTCATCGTAATGAGTTATTTTACTTTTGGTACTATATATTGATGCTAATACTTTTGTACTTTTACTTGAGTAAAATGTTGAATGCCAGACTTTCACTTGGAAGAGAGTATTTCTACATTGGCGTATTGTTACTTTTACTTAAGTCAAATATCTGAGTATTTCTTCCACCACTGCTTTGGTGTCAGAATCCCAAACCTAATCAGCTCTTCAGACTTGGGTGGTTACAATCTGATCGCTGTATATGCATTTGTTTGGAGTCATGTGTCTAGCAACCAGATGAATGTCCAATACTGACTCTCTCTGTAGGTCTACATCGGCTCCTGAATAAAATCTGCTAAACGTTCAATAGATTCAATAGATGATTTCATATCAAATCTACATCAACTCCACAGGTGGAAGTTAAAAAGAGTAATTCATTTTATAAAACAAACCACAAGTGACAGGTTCCTAGCAATCAAACTGGTTGTATCAGCTTCTATTAAAAAGAGTTATTGATTTTCTTTTTTCATTACACAATGTGATAATCAGTTGATATTCTTTCACACGGCACTAAAAGGCTCAGCCTGAAACGGGCACCTTTTTTGACGAGATTGAATTGATGTAATAACAGTGTACTCAACCGCATAATTCAGCCCTTTGTGCCTCTCTGACTTTCATCACCATTTCTTCCCATTAAGGGTTTTGAGTAGGCCCTACTGTAGGTAGGAAAGTGGCCGCTTTCATTGATGGCAGGTTGTGATTACAACAAAACGACAAAAAAATATTTTTTTAAAGGTTTCTGGAGAGAGAGAAAATGCTCCTTACATCTCAGATTCAATTAAAAGCGTTAAACCTAATATTTTTTGGTAACTAAAACATTTACAAGTGGTGGTGAGAAGCAAATGTTAAGGCTTGGTAAACTACACCCTGCTATTTCCAGATGCCATTTATGTGGGGCCATTTGTGTTTAGGTGTAATGACAGACAAGATAAATAAAAGAGGTAGCTGCTTAGTTTCAAATGTTGGTACCAGGTCATTTATTTCTTTGAATTCACACATTTTTCAATTATTAACTGTGTCCACATACAGGATCTGAAGGGAAGTTTAAAGCACACAGTCCTACTTTAACCTTTTTAAATAAGTCGCAGCAACTAATGTGGCCACATGAAGCATGTCTTTGACAGAGAGGAGGCGGTGGCAGTGTGAAGGCATTATGGAAATATGGCAACGACAAGCAACACCCAGAACCTGTCCACCCTATGAGACACACCTATTAGCAAGGTGCCGGAAATCTGAACAACTACACTGCCACCGCCTTTTCTGTGAGATAGACACACACCTGTTATTCACAATAAAGATATTTAAATATTTAAGAGCAAATACATTTTAGTGACATAAAAAAATAGAAATTAAAGGTGTATTTTAAATGTATGAATGTTTCCAATTTCCTCAATGATATTGACCATCGCTCACAGAATCAATCTATTGATCCTGATTGGCTTTGAAACATTCTTTAACGCTGCTGATAGAGATGGGGGGGGGGGCTCTCTGTATTTCCAAATACTTCCAAATAGTTTTATTAGAATTTATAACATTTTTTTATTTAGCTTAAACTATGTATTTTCAACCCACTACAACCCTGAACTGCTGCTAAATGAAATGCGTCATGAATTCTTTTTTTTGCTGACAATTTACATCCTAAAAAATGAATGCAAGAAGTTTGTATTTTTTATAGTGTGGTCGGTATTCAAGTCTTAATGCTTTATTTACCGGAATTTAGTGAGATAACAAGACACAATGGAGTTGATTGGGTTTTGTGGGACTAGGCCATTTTGAAGTGACATATGCTACTTGCCACCAATTGGACATGTTGGTGCTTGGATTTGACGAGTTGGTTCATATTGTTGATTACAATCCCAGCTAGTAATGGAGAGTTGAATACAACCTGTATTTAATGATTGATGTCTCAAAGTTAACATGAATACAGTAAAGATACCAGTACAGAGCTGATTTAAAGCGCCTTTACATCCCATAACTCATCAGAACTTTGTTAAATGGGAAGCGTTTAAAAACCATATCTCCCACGCACCACATGGGACACTGTGGATGTCATGTGAAATGCCTTTCTGCTTCATATGCATTTCTCCAGACGTGTTTAAACAGTCTGGTGGTTCACTTGTCGTGGTGTGGTCTGGTCACGTTAAATGACAGGGTGAGGCTGTGTGTCGTCGTGGTGGGGGGGCAGTAACATCCATCGGCCGTGATGAGACCGCGCCGCGTTTTTAACGTAGTGGAAGACAAGTTCCGTCGGACATTAAAGGTGTAGTTTGTCCAATAAACAGCTGTGTGTCCGTCATTGGAGGACGGGGGTGTCAAACCAGGCCGGCAATTGGTTCAGAGGAAGTTTTTCTGTGCAAATCGGTGGAAGCCCAACCAGGAAGAACACACACACACACACACACACACACACACACACACACACACACACACACACACACACACACACATATCTCGCAGGCAGCGCCACCGACCGTCCTCTCTCCACTCCTCCCCAGCTCTCCCAGTTACGGAGCTCTGCCATCGCACCAGTCCGGCGGCTTCCTCCCCCTCCTCGGTACCCGCAGATTTGTTCGACGGTTTCCCGGCTGCCAGGAGGAAGCGTGTCGGCGTGCCGTAAGTTAGCAGCTCGGTTATTTTTGTGTTGCTATTTCGCCCTGAATGTTTGAAGTTGTTCCGACTGCCCAGCCGTCCAGAGAAGGAGCGCAGAACCCATTTTTCGCTTCGTGCACCAGAAGCGATACACGGGGCTGCTGCTACGTGCCATATCCTCCCCAGGTCTCACCAGGACCGGGACCAGAATAGCCACGGTGTCGGTAATGAGGAATCCGGTTAGAAAAATGTTATCAAGAGTGCCCTTTATTTTTGCTTGGTGTGTGTATGTGTTTGTATTCGGGTAGCCCCCCCCTCTCCAGCCCATATTTAGAGCCTGGCTGGCTACTTCAGATGGGCAAGCTACGTCAAGCTGTACTGTATCATCCTACTGTATTCCACGGTGTCTGTATGTATATGTTTACGCATGTTAAATGTATGCAGGTATGTGTGTTTGAAATCTCCCTCGACATCTCAGCCGATGCATGGATCAAGCTCAAGGCTGCGATGCAAGTCTTTTGGAAAACACCAGACAGTGACCTAATGTTTGAAATTCTTGTCTCTTCTTGATAAATTCAACATGCCAGAACCTCGTAGCTGCTAGCTGTTGGGGACATGGGAAATATAAAATAAGAGATTTCTCAATCCGTTCCCTAATGGCTGGTTATTTATCTGTGATGTGTGTTCTGGCTCGGTCTTCAAAGTTGGGGTGTTAATTGCAGGTGTAATATTGGTGAGTTGGTAAAGATTGCAGCATGTACAGACAGTAGTGGTTTGTGTAGATATGTGTAGGTGTGTGTAGGTGTGTTTTTCTATTACCGAAGTAACATTCCACAGTATTTCCCTTTTTTCCGAATATTTGGTGATGTAATAAGTTGGTTTTCGGT